GATGTTTTTCCATTTAAGACATTGTTCTCCAACATTGCCATTAAATCAAATCACCATGAATGGGAAACACCAACAATGCCAACTTCTTCAGACTCCACACCCAAACTTCCCATAGTTACAAATCGATCAACTCCATTAGAAATAGCAGCATACACTATAACAGATATTCCATCACCATATGCTTCCTCTCCTGCCAAGTCTGGAGACAACTCAAACTCGCAGTCCTTATCCGATGATGCATCAGCGGCAGACACAACAGATTCACCTCTAGCAACTCCGTCCTCTCAAGGTAAATTTCTGTCTTCCTCATCTTCAATAATTCTTGCTTCCCAGAACGCCTCTTCTATATCTACTGCCCAGCGTATAGCACCACCACGCCTCCCTACAAACTCCCAAACGCCGATACCTACTAACACACTAAGCAGCTTGTCTATTCTCCTTGTCTATCACCGTAGAAACACCAACCCACCAACACATATGGCTCCTCAACCAGTCTGTCCTACCTTCGAGTTAGAACTCGCTCCTTCACCGCCTTAATGTCCATCTCCTCCTACCCATGCTGTCACTGGATCACAAAATAATATCACAAAACAAAAATTTTTTTTGATTACCTAGCCAAATTAAACCCCACTGTGACACCCACTAAACAAGCACAAAAATATCCAGAGTGGCGTTATGCAATGAAACATGAATTTGATGCTTTAATTAAAAATCAGACTTGGGAACTTGTTCTTCCTGACCCGACCAAAAACATTGTATCCTGCAAGTGGCTTTTCAGGATCAAGAGAATGTTAATGGGCCATCGACATATACAAAATGCGCCTAGTTGCAAAAGGTTTTACTCAAAGGCCAGGCGTTGACTTTCATGACACATTCATCCCAGTCGTCAAGCCCACAACAGTTCTCATCGTCCTCTCTGTGGAACTTTGTCACAACTGGCACCTTCGCCAGCTAGATATCAATAATGCCTTCCTCCAAGGACACCTGGAAGAGGAAATGTACATGGCACAACCTCCGGGGTTTACTAGTGATGACAAACCAATGCATATATGTCGGCTATGGAAGGTAATCTATCTCTTGAAGCAGGCTGCTCTGGCGTGGTACGATTCTTGTTGACACCCAATTTTTGACCCACGCTGGTATAAATTAATTACCGAGCTTCGTGAATTTTCTAAACTATTTAAGTTAATTAGTTTTATAAATCTTGTTAAAATTAAAAAAATAAATAATAATAAAAATATATATACATATATATATATATATATAATACATGGATTTTATGCTACTTATCATAACTTTAGATAGTGTATATATATTACATCATTATGTATATACTTTGTATATTTTAGGATTGTTCAAGAACCCTCTAAGAACTACACTTATGTATTTTATTAAATTAGTTCAATCAATTTATAATTATATTTTAAATCACTTTTACGATTTTGTAATTATTAGATAAAGAAGCTCGTTAATTAATCGATACGAATTCATCTTTTATTTTAGGTTTGGCCAAACATGGATATTCATTAAACCAACCCACCCTTAACTTAGCTTGACTAGCTTTCCAGCCCAAACAATCCTCAGTCCGGCCCACCTCAAACCCAACCCAACTCCCTTTTAACCCAGGCCCATCTCCCTTCCCAAATCAAATCAGCAACAGCCCAACATTTTCAGCAGCCCACCCTCACAACCCCAACAATCCCCAGGCCCATTCCCTCTTCTCAATCCCTAAATGGATTCCCAAGCCCAACACCTCTACCCAAATTCCCGACCCAACGCCTGACCCAACCCAATAACCCGACCCAACCTCCCCTCTTTCTTCCCTCCCTTCTCATCACGCCATTTCAGAAGAAGCCAAAAATCCAGCCAAAAACGCAGAGAAGCAGACGCCAAAAAAAAAGGAAAAAAACGCAGAAGAACAGCCCCAAAATGGAAAATCCCCCCCTAGACGCGATCTCTCTCACCCGCATCTCCCCCACGCTCTCTCGCTCTCTCCCAAACCCCAGACCCCCAGCGGAAAGCTCTCCCAGGCGAGATTCCCTACCCCCTTCTCCCAACGCGTCTCATCACTCCTTCTCCCCCCACTCTCACCGCGACCTGCAGAAAGAAAAGAAAAGAAAAGAAAATTCCAGAAACCCCATCTCCTGGCTCTCCCCCCTCCTCTCTCCTCTTCTCGTTCCTTCTCTCTTTAACGCGCGTGAAGGAACATTTTGTGTTGTCTTCCTCTGCGACTCGTACAATAGTACACTCGCGCAGGCCTGGCAGCAGAGAAAACTGGAAAATTTTGTCGTTGGTGTCGAGATGGCTCCACGTCGACCCTCCAGTACTACGATTTGATCCCGCCCGTCCACTTCAACTCCATCCCGATGGGAATTCGGCATCAAAACGGTATATTCCCTTAGCCGCGGAGAATTTTTTCAAATTTCGAATTTGATATAGGCCTGAACCAATCCCGCCCAAAATCCGAAAAACCCTAAATTTTCCCTTCTACATAAACCCCCACCTTCTTCAGGGTAAAGGGTTAGAGATTTTTTGGTTAGAAATTTCGGAGTTGAAAATTTGAGAGAGGAAAACTTGGGTGGAGAAAAATCTTGAAAAAAAAAAGACAAAACGAAAACTTTCTTTGGCTTTTCTGGTTCTGCTTCAGAAGAGTTCAAATTCCACGGGCTAGATTTTTGGAGTTAGAAAATTTGTTTAGCGATTGTGGTTGGGAAAATTTTGAAAAAAAAAAACTTCTGTGTTTGTTCTGTCATTTTTTAGAGAGCTAAAGGAAATAGAGATTTGGTTCAAGCCCTCTTCACGTTTTTTTTACAGCTGCTTTTCTACTTGAATTTTGGGAAGAGTTTCTGATAGTAGTTTAGAGAGTTTCAGCCAAGAATCCAAGCAGGTGTAGAGATAAACACAAGGGTTGGAAATTCTGGGTGAAGTTCTTGGGTCAGTTTATTCGGATTAGAAGTCGATTCCGAGTTCTTGAAACCTTGTTGCTCCCTCTCGCTCCTGCTCGTCAATCCCTTGTTCGCTGCTCTCGAACAATGATGGAGTCCATTTTGGGATTCCGCTTCATCCTTGCATTTTGGAAGAGCCGTAAAGGCTCCCAAAATACTTTCCATCGAGTCAAAGTAATGGGAAAAATTAGGAATCCTCGGATATTGAAGAAAAATCCAAAAATGGATTAGAAGATTTCCTTATTCTATAGCATGTATATTTTTATTTATTTGTAACGGGTGTGAGCCTTTGTCGTTTTACTTTTCCTTGTATTTATTTTGCTTAGACTAGGACAGGTACAAAAATTGGATCAAACATCCAAAAGCAGGTGGGTCCAATATTCGGTCAAGGCAAACAGAACCGAAATTGGACCCAAATCTCTCTCTCTCTCCCTCTCTCTCTCTCTCATCATTATTTGCTTGTGCGTTTGTTCAAATGTTGTTAGCTTAGAGTTAGTAAACACCAAACACCCATCGAACGCCTTCGATTTTATCAAAACTTAAAACTAAAATGGCAAGATAAACAATAAATATTTCAAAACTTGAAAATTGTCTAAGTGAAATTGTAATAAAAGTTCAACTTCGATCACAAAGGTTAAGATAGTCAAATAAGTTAATCGTCAGAAAACCGTAAGTTAGCGGAGCGTCTTAGGTGCCTTTAACACCTTCCTAAGACGCTGATAAGAATCCCGAACCCTTAAAATGTTTTCAAAACAATTTTTCTGTTTAAGTTGTTTAGAAACAAGTTTTCTTAATTTTCTCAAAATTAAGTGGCAACTCCTAAAAATCGAAAAACCTTAAAAATAAATCAAACTCTTTTCGAAACTATTTTTTTCGATAAAACAGAAATGGCGACTCCGCTGGGGACGGAGGATTCTAACCTTAAAGACTAACTTTATTTGACTATTTGTAATAACTGATTATTTGTTTAAGTTGTTAGAAATTGCATTTCATGGCATAACTTACACCAAACGGCAAATATATTGCATTAGGAAACGGAAGTTACGCGGCTTACCGCGACTTCTCTCAGGTATACCCAAGAAGTCATTTGGGAGTATCGAATAAATAGTCGGAATGCGGTAATCCAGCGTTGTTCGATAACTCCACCCCGATGTTTGTCCAACTCGGGTAACCGTCAATTTGAAAACAATTCTAGTAAACCTAGGGTAGAACTAAACCAAATCCCGAAATAGTGCATTTGCCTAAGATTACCCAATACCATGGTGTGTTGGGCCCATTAGAGGACCACCTTGAGTCCAAAACGGCCCACGGCCTAAACAGATGTCATATTTATGTGTTTAAATTTCAAGGATGTATACGGTCTTCAAATGTCGTATACATCCCTCAAATCGCTAGGTCCACCCTTGGCAGAAAAGGGTCACATATCTATTTAGAACGCGTAATATTTGTTCATAACCGCTTATGTGAATATGTTGATTTATTTGGAGATACTCTTGCTCACACTTCTTCAAATTGTTTTAAAACCCTAGGCACAAATATCAAGTCACTATCAAAAGTGCGTCCAAATTTCTTCGAGTCTTTAGTTTCCAAAAAAAAAAATTATTGCTCTCATATTTGAAGAAGATTCATCATTTCAAATCAAAAGAATTTTGAGAAATTTTATCTTTTTCGACTCTTACAAGGAAATTAGAGTTACATCTCAATCAAAAATCAAAGTACGGTAATGAAAGATACCGTCAACTTTGTCTCGACTCAAGTCGACATTTTTATTTACTAATCCCAAAGTCAAGCATATAAATTCCTGTCTATTTAACCATTTCTTTTTATTGGTGAGCAAGTTTATCTCCGAATAAAGCAACTCTTAAGTGTTTACACCTATATGTGATATTTTGTATTATTTACCACCTCCAGGCACTAACATATTGGTCTTTTGAGTTTTTTCACTTGTCAGGTATTTAAAATTGATCTGTGTTGGTTTATCATCCGTATTTCACAAGGTCTAAGGCCCACTAAAGATTCCTTCCCCGATCAAAATTTGCAAAAGAAAGGTCAATAATGGGGGATAACAATGATGAGGTTGACATGAATGATGTTGTCGTGGCTCAACCCACCGCCGCTGATAAAAGTGAATTGATTATGCAGTTGATGAAACAGATTGCCGAAATGAGGGTCGAAATGCAAAGAATGCAAGTTGGGTCTAATCCTGTTTCATCCTTCAACCCTCTAAGAGATGGAAGACCTCCACTCCACTTTCCTTCCCCAAGCACGGAACAGGTTCAAAACCTTCTCTCTAACCGCACTCAAAATACTCCAATCATTGACTTAACTATCCCCAATCCCCGTCACGCCACCACCTCGTGTCAAGCACCACATCATCCTCAAAATACTAACCTTCAAATCCTCCATGTCCCTCAAAACCACAATACGAACAATGCTCAAACCTTCCCCCATCTTCAAAACCAAAATACTAATCCTCAAACTTTCCCCCAAAATTATCAAGCCACTCAAAATACCCAGAATCCCTCCATTGTTCCACCCATACCTCAAAAGACTACTTTCCAAATCCCAACTTCAAATTAACCTTATGCCGACTGTTCTGAGCTTGATCGGTATAAGGAACAGGAGAGAGAGTGGAGGTCAAAAGAAGAGGTATTCAGGGTGAATATGAAAGAGGAGATCAGGAAAGCCATGAGGAGTTGCACTATATTTCTGAAGTCGATGGATTCAGCTATAAGGATTTATACATCCATCCAAATCTCGACCTCCCAGAAGGGTTCAAAGTGCCAAAGTTTATCATTTTTAATGGAACAGGAAATCCTCTAGCTCATCTGAAAGTTTATTGTGATCAACTCGTGGTAGTTGGCAAAGACGAAGCACTATTGATGTGTCTCTTCGGTCGAAGTCTAAGTGGAGAAGCTCTGGAGTGGCTTACATCACAGGAGCTGAAACAATGGAAAAGTTGGAATGCACTCGCAAAGGATTTCACGGAAAGATTTGGACATAACGTAGAAGATGCTCCAGATCGCTACTACTTGGAGAAGATCAAACAGAAGTCTACAGAAAATTATCTAGAGTACGCTTTTTGCTGGAGAAAAGAGGCTGCAAGAGTTCAACCTCCCATGTCCGAACGTGAGATCACTGAAATGTTCATTTGTACTCAAGAGCCTGAGTACTATGAAAGAATGGTGTGTATGATGGGACAAAAGTTTGTCGAGATTGCCAAAGTGGGAGAAGCTTTGGAAGATGGTTTCAAGACTGGAAAGATCACCAAACTTACCGCATTGCGATCTAATGGAAAATCTACCAGAATTAGTGATATGGATAAATCAAAAGGAAAAATGGAGGAGGTAAGTATGATCACGGCTACTCATATGAGGTCAGCTTCTCAAAGAAAATACCAAACCATAATGCCAATCAGGAAAAATTTCCTCTCCCAAAATTTAGGAAGTCTCCTAAGGTATTTACACCATTAAGGGAATCTCAGACTCAACTTTATGAAAGGTTGAAAGCAATGGGTATGATCTATCCTATAGAAGTAAGACGTGCCAATCCTTTGGGAAAATTTTACAGAGCTGACCACAGATGTGCTTATCATTCAGGAGCCGTTGGACACGACAGAGAGAATTGTTCAACTCTGAAGCACAAGATACAAAACATGATCAACAACAACTTGATCAGTATTGAGGAAACCACCTAAATGGATGACATATTGGATGCTCAAGAGTAAGTACATGACCTTTCTGAACTGATTCATTTGAAGATATTCATCCGAGAAGAAGAATGCCCAACATTGGCCAAACTTTGCATATGAAGTTTTGTTACCTTTCTTTTAAAAATGTATCGCACTTTTCTATATTGGAACTACGTTCGACCTAAATTCTCAAGAATGAGATACGTAGGCGGCCTATGTCGGCCTCGGTCGTTTCTTTATCAAAACTTCCTATTCTTGTTAACCTTTAAGGGGAACTACGTTTGACCTGATTCATGCTCCAATGGGATACGTAGGCGCCACAAAGGCTCGGTCATACACCCAGTAATATTTCCATTTCCCTTCATAATGGAAACTGAGACAGAATTTTTGAGAGGATCTCAAAAATTCATCTAAAGTTGGACTTCTTTAACATGTCAAAACAGAAGACCAAAATTCGACAGTGTTAGCCTTGGATGGATCTCAAAATTTACGACAATATAGCTTGCAACTGGGACAGAATTTTTTAGATGATATCAAAAATTCCACAAATGTCATTTATTACTTATTGAGGTAAATTGGGACGAATTTTGGGGATGGTCATCAAAATTCCAGAATCAGCAACCTCAGAGTTAACAGAGCAAGTTATGAGAGTTCTTATATATTGTAGACTGGGACAAATTTTGAGGAGGGTTCTCAAAAATTCCATCAAATATGTCATATAAATGACAGGCGAACGTATAAACAAACTTCAAGAAGGAGCATGGAGACAAGACCAACACAGATCAGTCCTTCAAACTAAGAATTTTTCTTTAGATGCAGGAACATGGAAGTCACAAAAATGGCTATGTGAAGCCGTCAAGAATGACAAAAGGCGTCACTTGCACCCATCGTGAACTCATCAACAAAACCTAGAAAATCTTCAATCTCATTTTTATCTCTATATTGCCTCAAGTGATTTATGAACAAGTTTCTTTTATCTTGCAGGAATATTAAGGCCAAACACTGATAGATTCTTTCAAAGTTGCAAGAATCAAAGTGTGGGAGGATCGCTAGTTATGAGTCATGATCAAAGTTACAGTTGGACTCATCATAGCCTAATCTGGATAAGCCAAATAACTTAATCTAGTTCCTCACCTCACTTTTATTCTGTACTTCATCATCGATACTAATGTTTGGTGTCGAGCTTTACAGGTGATAACATTGATCAAGTCGTACATTAAAGCGACATCAATTTTGAAGATGATTAAAGTGACACTAATTTAGAAGTGTTGCAAGGGATTTTGCTGAGTCCATCACATCAGAAAGATGATGATGAACAATATCTCCTTGACAGTCAAAATTATCGAATTGTTACAGGTTTTTGATAAACGATTGGAAATGACTGCAACAAACTCAAATTCTGCTGAGTTTGTCAAGGAAGACGAGAGTGTCTTTATTTTTCTTGTGAATGAATTAAGTCATTCGCCTCGATATTCTTTCTTTTAAAGAACATAATCGTAGTCGCGACGTGCATAAACGTCAATTTAGTTTTTAGTATGTTTGTCGCGTAGTAAGTTCGGTGTACTTTGTTTCTTGAATATGTCAGAGTCATAATTCTTATTTGTTGGGTATCCACCCCATAAGTGGATTATGTGCTTTGATTGGCCAATCAAAGACTTTAGCATATAGTTTGTTGGGCGATCCACCCCATAAGTGGTTCATATATATGCTTTTCCATTTCAGGTTTCTATTTTGAATCAGTTGGAATTTTATCAAGCCATCCACCTTGTTACAGTTGGAATATTATCGAGCATCCACCTCGTTACAGTTGGAATATTATCGAGCCATCCACCTCGTTACAGTTAGAATATTATCGAGTATCCACCTCGTTACAGTTGGAATATTATTGAGCATCCACCTCGTTACAGTTGGAATATTATCGAGCATCCACCTCGTTACAGTTGGAATATTATCGAGCATGCACCTCATTACTGTTGGAATATTATCGATCCATCCACCTAGTTGCAGTTGGAATATTATCGAGCCATCCACCTTGTCACAGTTGGAATATTATCGAGCATCCACCTCGTTACAGTTGGAATGTTATTGAGCATCCACCTCGTTACAGTTGGACTATTATCGAGCATCCACCTCGTTACAGTTGGACTATTATCGAGCATCCACCTCGTTACAGTTGGATAATTATTGAGCTAGCTAGCTCGATCAAGAGAACTTCAAAGAGGAGAAAGCTATCCCGAAATCGAGGGTTTTCCTAGAAGCAAGAGGCGTTTATATCACTTATGTCGAAGGCTTGAGAATGTGTTTGTTTATTTCAAGACAATCCCAACAATATGAAATTCACAAAAGTGTCTAGCCAGATTCAAAGGTGAATCAAACAGGAATCTCAACGAGGATTCACGATTTCTGTAGAGGACGCTATTTGCATTACGTTATCAAAGCAAGATAATTATTGTCAATCAAGACAACGCATTACCCAGAAGAGATAGTTATTTTATTATTATTTGTTATTATCGATCAAGTCGGTATATTATTTGTAGGTCGTTTTGCCATTATTACCAACACAGATGATATAAATATTCATGCATCGCTGGAGAGTCATGCATCGCGGGAAGTCATGCATCGCGAAATCATGCATTGCGAATTAACAATTTTGTGCGACGAGAAGATTTCATGCCTCGTCAAAATTTATGCATCGCGAGAAGATTTTAAGCCTCGCTGAAATTTAGACATCGCGAGAAGAGTTCATACCTCGCCGAGATTCATGCATCACAAGAAGAATCCATGCCTCTTTGAGATTTGCACATTGCGAGAAGATTTCATGCCTCGCAGGAATTTATGTATCGCGGGAAGATATTCATGCCCCGCAAGAGGACATACACGGATAAAGAAAGAGCAACACTTATCCATTTGCCTCGATTGCATTCTGTTATTACATATAAAAGTAAACATCAAGAAGAGCATCGAAAATGACGACAAAAGAAACATCAATATCGCATCATCATTTATTTATGTACTTCGACATCAGATATAGAATACACTGAAGAGTATATTGCAAAACATAAGGCGTAAGCTTATTTGCTGGACGTCAGACCGATCGAGTCGACGTCGATTTGAGGAGAACAATGAAGTGTCGACATGGTAAAAGACACTGTCTCCCATCCTAATTGCATTTTTTTAGCTGACGAGTTTTATCTCAGTTTTTGTCGAGAGCATCCGAAAAGGATGAATTCTCCAAAAACAACAGGTGCGGACGACATCAAAAAGGATGCAGCACAACGTGGAACTCTTTCTTAGCAGCGAACTGGGACACAGTCCAAAGAGGAATGTCAAACTCTTAGGACGCGAGCAGAGGAGCGACTTCCACCACAATCGAACCACCCCCTCGAAGCATGTAGGTCTTTCTTCAGTTCTTTCAGTTTCAGTCTCGCGTCCGGAAGTTTCGATCTATCGGAAGCAAGTTTCCAATCTGAGTGACAAATATGCGAAGATCTTCGGAAATTATGTCTGTGTGAGTTCTTAATTATGAGTGTGAAGCGCGCCACATTCATGGCTAAGAGGTTACAAGCCTCCTTTTCATACTCGTTGATTTGTCACTTGTCCAGAACCAAAGGTTATCTAGCTTAATAGATTTTCTTTTCCACCGACCGAGTTGAACTACACACAGCCTGAATCCGAAGGTCTAAGGATATGTAGGCAGATTCAATGTCAAAACTCGGCTGTATTCCAACGTTCGCTCTCGAATCCTATTCTCGAGCATTTTGATACCTTCATAATTCTGTGTCGAGGTGGCTTTTGATTTTTCAAAATCGTGCGGTAAATCATGCTTATCGAACTACAAGTGGCCTGAATCTCATATAGCCAGATATGTAGGAGACCCGTTTGCAAGGGTTCGGCCATAATTCCTGAACTCTTTGTCGAATCCTTCCTTTAAAAAATGAATAGGGTTGGTCAAAATTCGTTTGGTCAATGTCATTTTCCTTGAGTTGCTTGCATCAACCCAAGTAAAATGAGGGACAACTGTTGACACCCAATTTTTGACCCATGCCGGTATAAATTAATTATCGAGCTTCGTGAATTTTCCAAACTATTTAAGTTAATTAGTTTTATAAATCTTGTTAAAATTAAAAAAATAAATAATAATAAAAAAATAAAATATATATATATATATATACACACATATATATATATGTACATAATACATGGATTTTATGCTACTTATTATAACTTTAGATAGTGTATATATATTACATCATTATGTATATACTTTGTATATTTTAGGATTATTCAAGAACCCTCTAAGAAATACACCTAAGTATTTTATTAAATTAGTTCAATCAATTTATAATTATATTTTAAATCACTTTTACGATTTTGTAATTATTAGATAAAGAAGCTCGTTAATTAATCGATACGAGTTCATCTTTTATTTTAGGTTTGGCCAAACTTGGATATTTATTAAACAAACCCACCCTTAACTTAGCTTGACTAGCTTTCCAGCCCAAACAATTCTCAGTCCGGCCCACCTCAAACCCAACCCAACTCCCTTTTAACCCCAGGCCCATCTCCCTTCTCAAATCAAATCACCAACAGCCCAACATTTTCAGCAGCCCACCCTCACAACCCAAACAATCCCCAGGCCCATTCCCTCTTCTCAACCCCTAAATGGATTCCCAAGCCCAACACCTCTACCCAAATTACCGACCCAACGCCTGACCCAACCCAATAACCCGACCCAACCTCCCCTCTTTCTTCCCTCCCTTCTCATCACACCATTTCAGAAGAAGCCAAAAATCCAGCCAAAAACGCAGAGAAGCAGACGCCAAAAAAAGGAAAAAAAACCAGAAGAACAGCCCCAAAACGGAAAATCCCCCCCCAGACGCGACCTCTATCACCCGCATCTCCCCCACGCTCTTCGCTCTCTCCCAAACCCCAGACCCCCAGCGGAAAGCTCTCCCATGCGAGATTCCCTACCCCTGTCTCCCCACGCATCTCATCTCTCCTTCTCCCCCCACTCTCATCGCGACCTGCAGAAAGAAAACAAAAAAAATCCAGAAACCCCGTCTCCCCCACGCTCTCCCCCTTCCTCTCTCCTCTTCTCATTCCTTCTCTATTTATCGCGCGTGAAGGAACATTTTGTGTCGTCTTTCTCTGCGACTCGTACAATAGTATGCTCGCGTAGGCCTGGCAGCAGAGAAAACTGGAAAATTTTGTCATTGGTGGCGAGATGGCTCCACGTCGACCCTCAAGTACTACAATTTGATCACCCCTGTCCACTTCAACTCCATCGCGATGGGAATCCGTCATCAAAACGGTATATTCCCTCAGCCGCGGAGAATTTTTTCAAATTTTGAATTTGAAATAGGCCTGAACCCATCCCACCCAAAATCCGAAAAACCCTTAATTTTCCCTTCTATATAAACCCCCACTTTCTTCAGGGTAGAGGGTTAGAGATTTTTTGGTTAGAAATTTCGGAGTTGAAAATCTGAGATAGGAAAACTTGGGTGGAGAAAAATCTTGAAAAAAAAAAAAAGACAAAACGAAAACTTTCTTTGGCTTTTCTGGTTCTGTTTTAGAAGAGTTCAAATTCCAGGGGCTAGATTTTTGGAGTTAGAAAATTTTGTTAGCGATTGTGGTTGGGAAAATTTTGAAAGAAAACACTTTTGTGTTTGTTCTGTCATTTTTGAGAGAGCTAAAGGAAATTTTGGGAGGAAGAGATTTGGTTCAAGCCTTCTTCACTTTTTTTTTACCGCTGCTTTTCTGCTTGAATTTTGGGAAGAGTTTCCGATAGTAGTTTAGAGAGTTTCAGCCAAGAATCCAAGCAGGTGTAGAGATAAACACAGGGGTTGGAAATTCTGGGTGAAATTCTTGGGTCAGTTTATTCGGATTAGAAGTCGATTCCGAGTTCTTATAACCTCGCTTCTCCCTCTCGCTCCTGCTCGTCTTTCCCTTGTTCACTGCTCTCGAACAGTGTTCGAGTCCATTTTGGGATTTCACTTCATCCTTGCATTTTGGAAGAGCTGTAAAGGCTCCCAAAATCCTTTCCATCGAGTCAAAGCAATGGGCAAAATTCAAAATCCTCGGAGATTGAATAAAAATCCAAAAACGGATTAGAAGATTTCCTTATTCTATAGCTTGTATATTTTAATTTATTTGTAACGGGCGTGAGCCTTTGTCGTTTTACTTTTCCTTGTATTTATTTTGCTTAGACTAGGACAGGTACAAAAAATGGGTCAAACACCCAAAAGCATGTGGGTCCAATATTCGGTCAAGGCGAACAGAACCGAAATTGGACCCAAATCTCTCTCCCCCTCCCTCTCTCTCTCTCTCATCATTATTTGCTTGTGCGTTTGTTCAAATGTTGTTAGCTTAGAGTTAGTAAACTCCAAACCCCTATCGAACGCCTTCGATTTTATCAAAACTTAAAACTAAAATGGCAAGATAAACAATAAATATTTCAAAACATGAAAATTGTCTAATTGAAACTC